CTTCTGATGTGACACATTCATTGTGGTTCTTTCTGGTATACATCCGGTCAGGTTCTGATTTGTAAGGATACCTTCGGCCACACTTGAGGGTTGTGGGTGTTTCCTCCCTCGTAAACATTTTGGAAGGCTGGCATACTGTGTCTGTAAGATGGTCCCTGAACTCATTATGTTCCTTGTCTCTCTCTGCTGACTGATCCTCTTTCAATCCACATTCTTCCTCACCTATCTCAGTTCTCTTCAGCAGGTTCACTTCGCTTGCCGGGGCAGTGGTTCTGGGGACATCCATCGGCTCATTTCTTCCCCACTGAGGATCCTCCATCTTGACCTGCCTTCCCATCGTGTCATCTGCAAAGAAAGAATAATTTTGCTCATTCTTTGGGCTCCAGAGAAAGGCTCTGGAGCAGTGGTTCCCAACATTGAGTGCCCAGATGTTCTTGAACTACAGCTGCCAGAAATCCTGTCCAGCATAGCTACTGGTGAAGGCTTCTGGGAGTTGTAGTCCAAGAACATCTGGGGTCCAAGGTTGAGAATCACAGTGATTTTTGTCAATTTTTTTGTGGTTTTTAAATCACAGGATGCCAAACACAATGCTTTTGATAACCCTTTTTTCAGTTAAATTAAGAGTCAACTTAAAATATCTCCCTAACATTATGTTTAAAATAAGGAGCTAATTAAGAATAATAAAAATCCATGCATTGTCAAGGCCATTCCGACTTAGGACTTTTTTCAGGACTTTTCAGGACTTCCCACATAGAGAATATTCAGAAGTGCTTAACCCTTCCCTTCCTCTACAGGGTACCCTGTGACTGTGCAGCTTGCCCAAGGACACCCAGGCTGGATTTTTTGGTGCACTGATTCAGCTTGGCACACAGCGAACCCCTATGCTGACTTCTTCACTTCCAGCAATTCACCACTGAGATTTCCAGCCATTATACCTGGATCCCATTCTTCTCTGCTACCTTTTTCCTTACTTAACAACAATAATAATAAAGAGTCCAAGACCGATTCAATTCTGACACAGTTCATCGTTCTGGCAGGGGTAGTAAACAAACCTGAAGGTCTGAGGGATGAAAAGAGCCAGGATCCTGCCTTCAAGGAAACGATGCATGAGGGAAAGCCAGAAGATGATGACTAATATTCATCATCCCTCTCATATTCTGCCAATATTGTTTTTTTCAAATGCAAATTAGAAGGAGAAATACGAAGGTTAAAGGTTGAAGGAACTCAACGGCAAAAAGAGCAAAAAAATCTCCTTACCCAAAGAGTCGATGGTCTCGGCCTCCTCCTGCAGAACCTGCCAGGATACGATCTGACTGCTTGGCTGGTTCAGAACCTGGTGGCTCTTGAGCAAAGATGGGCACGTTTCCTTGGTGACTATCAGCCCCTGTATAAATGGGGGGGGGGAAACGGGAGACATTTCCTTTCAGGTAAGACTTTGTTGTGGGGAAAAAAGAAGGCGGCGGCTAAGGCAAAACAGAATGGAAAACCACTGACAGCAGGAAGACCACTGAAAAGCATCCATGGAACAAATTTGTGAGTGGGAAAACAAACATGGGACACTGGGGCTGTGCGACAGGGTCCTTTTGAAGAGAAAGGTGAGGTATCCGCATTTTAAAATAAAAATATAAATAAACCCCATATTAACTAAAATGGCAACTAAAATGGCAATCCATGCAACAATTAAAAAAGGGAAAAGAAAGTCGAGCATGTAGCAATTAGACCAAGCAAAACTTTTGAAAGTAACAAACTTCATCTTGTTTGCAATGGCGCTTAACAGACGACATTAAACTGGCCTAGAAGATGTGTTATAAATTTTGTTACCCTAATCCACGTCCTATGCTTTCTGAAGCAATACAGAGGATCTCCCCTGCCACTTCGCTCTCTCAGCCCCTTCTTGGCTCACGAGGAAGTCTTCCACCAGGGCCACGGCCTGGGAACACGTGTCGGGCCCTCCTGCCCGGATCCAGCCCTGGAGGTCCGGGCGAAGGCTGGCCAGGTACTGCTCCAGGATCAGCAGCTCCAGGATCTGCTCCTTGCTGCGTCTCTCCGGCCTCAGCCCCCGGTGGCAAAGCTCCTGGACTTGGCTGTGAAGCCTCCGTGGGTCTTCCACCTCCTGGCAGGAGAAGTCCCTGAAATGCTGCCGTCTCACCTCCATCCGCAGGGCATCCCTTCGCAAGATGGCAGCCTTCACTTTCCCATAGTCCTCTTTGTCCTGGGCATCCAGGCTTTGGAAGACCTCTTCTGCTTCTCCACTCAGTGCTGGCAAGAGCCAGGCCACCCATTCTCTTGGAGGCCACCGACAAGCCCTGGCCACTTCCTCGAAGGAGGCCAGAAAGGCCTTGGCATCATCCCACGGGGCAGCCTCGGAGATCACAGACTTATCCCTTCTTCTAGAACTGGGCCCCTGCATCTCAAGAAACTCCTGCCAATGGGCTTCCCAGCGCTGCTGGAGCCCCTTCTCGGCTTCCTTCTTGACTTCTTGCCATCTTCCCCAATGGCCTGCCTCTGCCATAAGCTCAGCCGGGACTCAACGCGTAGCTTCTCCTCCTATCCTTCTTTGGCTTCTTTACCGCTTTTCTGTACCAACTAGAATAAAAATATTTGCAAGTGAGATCTCCTGTTGCAGAATATCTTAGAGAATAACTGAAGCCTCATAGCCTTTGGAAAAGAATATTTCTGAAAAACCAGAAAAACATTCTATCCCATTTTCTACTTTAAAGGTATGACACAGAGTAACAACCAGTGAAAACATGTATGATCCAGTGGGTAAATAATAATAATTATAATAATAATCTTAGAACTGCAGCCCTGGACGAAATTAAAGGGGAAGATGGGAGTAAATTATAGGGAAGCTGAGTTATGAAATTGAATGTACTGTATTTGCGAAGGCTTTCACGGCCGGGATCTGATGGTTGCTGTAGGTTTTTCGGGCTCTTTGGCCGTGTTCTGAAGGTTGTTTTTCCTAACGTTTTGCCAGTCTCTGTGGACGGCATCTTCAGAGGACAGGAGCAGTACTCTACTCGTCTTCTCCTGTCCTCTGAAAATGCTGGCCACAGAGACTTCCGAAATGTTAGGAAGAACAACCTTCAGAACACGGCCAAAGAGCCCGAAAAACGCACAACAACGATGAAGTTGAATCTTCACAGATGAAGTAAATTGTGGAACAAACAAATAATGGAAAATATGTCCATAAGGTTTAAGGAAAACTGTTATCAAGTAGTGTAGAGATATGGTATAGATATAGACCGGGAGAAGAATCCATGTGTTTCTGGAGTGAAAGGGGCAATAATAAAGGGAAAAAAATAAAGAATATGAATCTGGTCCCAAAGGGGGAGGGTGGCACAGGGTTGAGAAATGAGAATATGATTAATTTTGTTCAACTTTATGTTGATTTCATGTAGTGCACTGTAAATTTGTGATTTTATTACTTTCTTATTTATTTTTTTAAAAAAAGAACTGCAGAGCTGGAAGTGAACTTGTAGATCATCAAGTCCAGCCCTTCTCAAGAAAGCCCAGTGGGGGAAATAACCTCTGGCTCCACATCTTGAGGCCTAAACCACTGAGCGATCAAGATTGGTTCTGGGTCCCATGGCACAGCTCCCTGGTTCAGAGAAGCCAGAGGTTGGGAGTTCGATTCCTCCCTGTGCCTCCTTCGGGAACCGCCAGCCTGGGTGGTCTCGGGCAAGCTGCGCCATCCCAGGAGGGCCGCCCCTCAAAAAAAAAGAAGGGAAGGATCCACCACTTCTAAATCTTCTCTCTCTCTCTGGAAACCCCTCAAAATGGCTGCCATAAATCAGAAGGAAGAGGCACCGTGTGGAAGAAGGCGAGTCCCCGTGGCCTGCCTGGCCAGCTTGTTGTTCGCCCTGCCTCTCTCGGAGGCTGCTTGGGGCGCCCCCTCAGCCAGTGGGGTCACCTCCGCAGTCCTGGAAAAGTACCACATCTCTGCGAAACCCTGCGTTTTTACTCGCAAGGAAGTCTGCCTCCCAACTCCGGGCAAAGAAATGCCTGCCAGAGTTTCCCGGTTGGGGGGGGCGAAAAAAAGGGGGCGAAAACGCCTCTCCAGCCCCCCCTTGGCGCCTCTCTGGGCCTTTCGGAGCCTCCGTGTCATTGAAGATCTTACCGGAAGCGACGAGGAGGCTTGTGTGACTGGCCGGCTTGCTCGCGTGTTGTCTCTTCCTCTTTCCCTCTCCCGGAAGCGACGAGGAGGCTTGTGTGACTGGCCGGCTTGCTCGCGTGTTGTCTCTTCCTCTTTCCCTCTCAGCTCCTTAGCTTCGTCGGGGGTGGCCACCCGAGGCTCCGAGCCTAACCGGGAAGGTGGCCCCTTCCTGGGCTTTGGAGATGGGGAGGCGGTGGCTTTTCCCTGCGGCGGAAATCCCCGCCTTTCCTCTCGCCTTCCTCCTCCTCCTCCTCCTCTTCCTGGGGGGGGGGGAGAAAAGCCTTCCAGGCTTCACACGGGCGCCCCCTCTTGGGCGACGCCATCGTTACATCTTCCCGCCCTTCTCCCTCATATTTAACCAAACAGGTGCAAAACTCACATACACACATAGATCGGCTTCACAAACTAAAGCCTTCGTGACTTAATGAAAGTATGGTGCGCGGCCTGAAGAAGATAAATGATCATCGAAAGCTAACTGCTTGTTTGCTTGATATTTTTGCTTGCTCTGTTTTTTTACAGGGGTCTATTAAAGGTATCCCTTGCTCCTGCATTGAGAGAAAACCATGTTTACCCCCCTTCTCAGTTCTCAGTTGGCCACAGAGTTAATCTGCATTGAGAGAAAACCATGTTTACCCCCTTCTCAGTTCTCAGTTGGCGACACAGTTAATCAAATGGGTCAATTCATAAGAAAGGGTCGGACCCTCTGGAGAACTAGAAGCCATTCTCTGTGAATCTCTGTACTTCTGCTACGCAGAACAAAGGAATTTTACCAAAAATTCAAAATTCTGCACCAAGTAAGAACCGCAAAACTAAGCAGGGAAAGAAACCATCTCCTTCGGCCAATATTTTGACTGAAACTTTTTGCCCTGAAGAGTTTTTTGACTTATGGCAATTAGCAAGGATACTGTTTTTGTCTCCACACTTTGACTGCCTATTCTTGCATGTTCCGCTCCTCTTGAAAATATTGAGGAGAACAAGAATGGGCCCATTGCAACATTTCATGGAATATTCTTTTTTTTTTTAATTGACCAAAGAGACAGACATTTTTACGGAGAGTATGCCACCTCACAGAATTCCTCTATTTCACAACAGCTAACATTAGGAACAAAAAGTCCTTTTCTCTGGAAGGGGCCCACGAGGGCTAGACTTCTCCCTTCCATTTGGCAGGTTGATTAACAGCACAGCTTGAGGGGGAAAATTACTTTTGGGGGTTCCAGTTTGTATATTTTGTTTAAGTGGGCACAGCCTGAGTCCTGCCCGTGGGGGGGGGGGATTCTGGAAACTGTCATCCAAACTCACCCTGGTTAATGGATATAAACCATGGGAACTGGCTGATCCCCGTTCTCGTACAAATGAAGTGGGACACCTCGTTTCACACTGAAAATGACTGAGGGTGGGTGGGATCCGAAGAAGAAGCAAGCAGATCCTGTCCGACAGAGTTAATCAGTGCCCGGCGGTGCTTTCTCCTCCTCCTCTTCATCCTGCTTTAGCCACCTTGGCTCTGGAGGCTGCCTGGGCTCGCCTTGCAAACTTTGCTCCTCTGTCATGGTGGGGGTAGCTGCTGCTGCTGAGTGTGCCTTTTTTTTGAGGGGGGCCCTCACAGGAAGGTTGCTGGACCCCTGTGTGTGTGTGCATGCGCACCTGTGGGAATCCCCGCCCTGCTCTGTTTAGTTTTGCGGGTCCCGGTGGGGGCTTTTTCTCCTTTGGCAAGGCAAATTCTGTGAGGGTTTTTATTTTAATTTTATGTTTTGCCCCCCCCCC